AAAGAAAATTGAATGGTGAACATTGTCTAAGTCTGGGAGTGATAAACACCATTATCATAGAGAAACAAAAGGAATTCATGTGTGTCATCCATAAAATAAATGGTATATTACTTCTTATTTCATAACCATAAATCATAAGGATGTAAGCAGTGTATGTGAGCCTCCATAGGGAGAGAATTTGTAATTGTTGGACAGACATATGAAAAGGTACCAGTATATCCTGTAGAGCTATTTGCCATTCTATAGACTCATAAGTTTCATAGTTTGATATAAATATAATATCATCTGTACAATAAATGTATTGTAAGATATATTATATATATATATATATATATACATATATTTATTATTATTAGGTTGGGGGATTGTGAGTAAGCTACAATTGATAGTTAGCACTGATTGTTAATCTGTATGGATAAAATGAGGAACTCCGCTCAATAAATCAGTCTTGGATAAACAGAACTCACATTTCCTGCTCTATATGTTAGCTTTGGCCTCCATCATGGCAGAGTGAGTAGGCAAGCTAAAAGTGAGATGCTGACACTCTTTAGGGTGAAGGAGGTATGGTAAAGAAGCAATCTTGTACATCTATGATGATTATTTTTTTATTTTGGGCCATGGCCATGGGAGATGGCAAGCCAGGCTAGGAGAGTCCCCTTGGCTTTAATAAAATTTTACTTTTTCTTAAGGTCTTGTAACATTCTATAAGCCTGATTTTCATTAAACAACAAATATTGGGGTGACTCAAGGGCTGGTGGGAGGCTTTATATGCCCAATATTAAGAATATGCCATAAGTTTATACTTGGCCAGTCTTTTCCTGCAATATAAGAAACATCTGTGCTTATATGTCTTTCCCTGTATTTTAAGTATTTGGTTGGTCTGGAATATTTAATTTCTGAACCCAGAAAGCCATATCCCTAGAATCCAAACTGGCAGCTCCCGTAGGTGTTACCCTGTATGAATCTGAATTGTTTTTGTAGGGGGTTGTACAATGATCTTAATGTCTTCAGTAAAGTCAGGATCAACCTTTCCTGGGACAGTTTTTATACCTTGTATAGCAGAGGAGCAATGGCCTATAATTAGCCCCAGTGTCCCTTCTGGGGAGGTCTATAGACTCTTGTATTAAGGCATATATAAGTTCATTCTTAAAGTCTATATATCTATCTCAGACTTCAATACAAACTTTATCCATAGATCTAACTTAGGTATACATCCTCAGTATCTCTAGGTTATTTACTGAGACTTATGTATCATTTATAATATATCTAGATGTTCATATGTTATATTTCTCTAATCCAATGACTAGTATTCCACATATAATAACTTTTTTTTTTGGTTTTTTGAGACAGGGTTTCTCTGTGTAGTATTGTGCCTTTCCTAGAAATCACTTGGTAGACTAGGCTGGCCTCGAACTCACAGAGATCTGCCTGCCTCTGCTTCCTAAGTGCTGGGATTAAAGGTGTGCACCACCACTGCCCAGTTATAATTTAGCTCAGTGGTAGAGCACTTACTTGCTTAGTAAGCGCAAGGCCCTGGGTTCAGTCCTCAGCTCTGGGGGGGGGGGAGATAACTATTTCTTAACATTCTTAAACATTCTTTATATCTAATCATTCATATCCTTATAAACTTTACATCTAAAAGCATTTTTGTATTTAATTCTTCAGGAGATATAGGTGATTCATTACTGAGAGCAGCCAATGTGGTAAATTCCTTTAAACAAAGGCACAAAGTTTATTTTGAAATCTCTTTGGCAAGCTACCTTTTCTATGAATTGGAATAGCAAAGCAAATTATGTTTCAGGCCTGGTAAATGGGGATATAATCTAAATTATCTCAATGCACAGTTTGGACAAAACCCTGGCAATAAGGGGTATGCCAGTTTTGTCCAAAGCTTAAACATTTTAAATGTTAGTGGGCTAAGTAATGAATTGATTATATTAAATTTAGCATACTTAGCATGTATATAATTATGATTTTGCATTTACATTAGATAATTTGATAATTTATAAGATGATTAACCCTTAATTTGTATCCTAATAATTATCTCTAATAGCTTATAGCTTAAGTACAACTTATCCTTAACAGTTTACAGTTTAGGTTGGTCAATCAATAAGTTTTATTTTTTAATTACCTTTAATTAAAGTAAACTTATTCTTAACAATTTATAAGTTAGTTATCCTTATAAGCTTAGAACTTAGGTTTTATACCCGTCAGGTTTAGCCTTAAAAATATTAAGTTTGTACTGGTTATTTTAATATAGAAACAGGAACTCTTATTAAAAAATATAGTATATGAAGTGAGAAACAATTTAATAAATCCTTTAAGGAGTATCATAAAATGAGATAAGCACAGTAAAAAATCTAAAACAGAGGAGGATTTTATTTTTTTAGCAGCTGCAGCCAGTTAGTCCAAGCCACTATATCAAGCCAGATAGCCACCAGGAATGGCAAGGTGAGGAGAAGGGTGGAGAAGACTCAAAGGCCCAAGTGAACTGAAATGCAGATAGCAGATAGATAGGTTCAGAGAGAAGGCAGTAGATGTTTAAGATTCCAGCCCCCAAACTTCTCTGGGGGTCTGATGAATTCATATAGGTCTTAGTAGGGCGTCCCTTAACAAGGACCTGCTTTTTTGAAATGGGTTAACTGAAGTTCTTGTACTTGGCCAAGATTTTTGTAAATTACCAAGAACTTAAAAGTCAACCCAAAAAGAGGAAAGAGAGAGAAAGGGACACTTTTTAGGAGAGCTAGGAGTTGCCATTAGTTTTTAAACAGGCACTGGCTGTGACACTCGCATTGTTATTTAAATGATGGCTGCTGAAGTGAGCCCCTAGTTAGCAATTTGCAAGTTTAGGCTCAAGTTTGTGCTTAGATCCATTTTGTTTTAGCATAAAAACACCTGTTTGTAGCAGGACATTGCTGCTACTGAGAATAGTGAACTTCATTAGCTCTAGAAGTCTTGTAGTGTGATAATATTGTGTTACCTGCTTGTAAGACCCTGAATGAAGTAATGGCAGGTTTCTTCCTAAAAGGGAGGGGTTAGAATCTCTGGTGCTTAACATAGTCTGACTGTAAATCAATTTCATAAAGTTGGCAGCTTTTAGGGATCTCCTAAATCTTTCCTTATATTTTTTAGGAGGCTTTATGGAATTAAGATAGTCTGTTGCTTCCTTATCTAAGCCTGTAAACAGACTGGAGCTGACTGAAATGCTTTTTGTCTTAAGCCTGTGTCCTGTAACTTCTATCAAAAGCTGATTCTCTTTCGACTCGTTCTGACTCATGGTGCAAGAAGGATTCTTAATAGGGAAGGGAGATATTGAAATACTCATCACAAAGAGGCCTGGGGTTCCTCCTGGTCTGCAGCACCATTGGTCAGATTCATCAGTAGCCTGCACTTCAGGGGTCACCTTTATGAATCCCTGGAGAGACAGCCTCCTCTCTGGACAGGTGCCTCTAAGGACACCAGTGCTTTTTGAGTGTGCTTGGTAGATTATTCTTCCTAAGACTGGATACAAAAGGTGACAGAACTTGTATAATAGTAGCAGGACCAGCCTTAATATTATACATTCCAGGGGCTCAGGAGAGAGAACTACTAATGGCGAGGACTATTTTCTGGAAAAAGAATCTCAGCACAAAGAGCTCTATAGTCCACTTGCTTTAATTCCTCTGGCATAACATCCTTTATACACAGTTTCAGTTCTGTTCTCTTGCCTAGCTCCAATCTTGCTTGATTTCTCTGTTATCTACTTCTCAATCTTAACTTCTATCTTAACTCTCTTAATTCTGCCTCATCTAGGTCCTTTCCATCTTGTTCTTACCCAGCTAGGACTTTCCCATCTGACTCTTCCTCATCTTCCATCTCATTCCTCTAGTACTCTCTTCTAGCCCTTCAATCTAGTTCTTCCCCATCTCAGTTTGTTCCTCTCAAGTTCTTACCCATCTAGTTCTTCCATTCTCTTTTCTCTTCTCTGTTCTCCATTCCCCGTGTTCTACCTAAGTCTCCCTGGAATCCAGTTATATCAAGCCCCTGGTTGAGCAAGGTCACCAAGCTTGAATTCTACAGGGTCATAAAGGCAGGTAAAAAATTTTCCTCAGGCAGTGAGCACCAGGCTTTCTTCAAGAATCCAAAATGAGAGTGGTAAAAGAGAAGGTCAACTGAGTGCTAATGACCATTAGCATATCACGGTTAGACTTTGAAAGTGGCTCAGGGAGATATCAGATTCCAGAGAAAGCCTTTCCTGAGGCTGTTTTCCAAATACCTGGAATGTGTATGTACAGAGAGGGATCAGTCCATACTGTTAGCCCGTCTTAGGGAAAAGTCAGTGGGAAAACCATGAAGGCACACATGATTTTCATAACAGAATACAGGTGATATATAAGAAGCCAAATAACACCAAAAACTCCTTGGAATTTGGCTTCCTCTGTAGGAATTACCTGATACCTCCAGTAGTAACTTTGCCATAACTACCTGAGTTCTTAGGATATATTCTTGTGGCCTGCAGCAACTTTGAAGACCACTGTGATGTGATATTTCATCCAGAGTATAGAGCAAGCAAGTAATACAGGCTGGCAAGCAGCAAATGACACTCTTGGGAGAATGGATTTTGATGTAGGAATTTGACTGTGGGTCTAGGCTATTACATTGATAGTGCTCTAACATGAGAATTGATAAGTCTCTGACTTGGTGGGGCCAATGGAGGAATAAAAAGAAAATATATTAAATTGGTTCTGCATAGTGTCAGGAAAATCATATTCAGTCTAAAGATCAGAACATGAGGGTAAAGGTGACTTTATTGAAAATCAGAGGGTAAAATGTGGGAAAGCATGAATTTACTTACCAATTACTGTGTGGCAGGAAACACTGTGTATTTGATTTTCAAAGGGTCAAAGATTTACTGTTCCTTGGCAAGAATTTACAGAAAAGACCATGCTTTGTGATCAAAGGTCCATCTCAAGAGAGCCCTAACATAACTGTCCACAGAATGAACCATTTTAGAGAAGATTTTATTCTGTTGAATCCCTTGAAGCAGATTTGACAAGAAAGGGCTGTACCTTCAGTCTCACCTGCTCATGGCAAAGGCCCTCATCAGTGCAGACTGCCCTGGTAGGCAATGTTGCTTGTGTCCCAAACGCATATGTAGCTGTGCTCCCTGGAGACCTGGGTCTATGATGGCAAACCTATATCATGAAGAGAGATGGTGACATACAAACCATGCTCAATAGAATGCGCTGAGGCCCAGACTGCAGGGCAAAGGAGAAAGAGGTGCCTCATCTGTTTGTGCTTCCTTGAGGCCCAGTAGAAGTCTGGCTGTCCCTCAGCCCTGATTCCCCACCTGGGGAATACAATGATGTTCAGTGGCACATACCTAGGAGAGACCTGAGGCTTCCCTTCATAGCACGTTTAGTGACTCTCTACTCTTGGACAAGGCTTTAGTTGCCAAAACACTGTCTTCACACTGGGGTCACATCCCAGAAA